TAAAGGTCTCGTCCTTGACGTAAAACGACGCGAATTCACAGTTGGGAAGCCCGGTTCGGTCTTCCAAGAACACCAGCAAGTCTTCGATCCGGGTCCTCAACTCGGCATTGGCTCGAAGCTTCACGTTGTTCGCGTCGTGACGAGAAGCCAGTTTCGAGACGCAGGAAACGAGTCGCTCGAGCCGCGATCCGTCGCTCCAATCCCAATCCTCGAGACACTGTTCAATTTCCTCGAGGTTGGAGACATCCGGAGACAGATGGGGACTCAGCTCGATGTCCGGAGGTCGGTCTGGACACTGAAGCGAACACCGGACTTGAAACGACACAGAGGGTAAACAGGGTTGTTTAACTGTCACCGAGAAATGATTGCAAAGAGGGATCGTGGCGTTCGAAGATAAAGGATGGCCGGTGAATTTCGCGCGATGGATTTCAACTTCCAGTCCGGGGTAGGGACGCTGTAAGATGGCCGCAACGTGAGGTCGGATATGCGGCGCAAATACGTTCACGTCCGTCACCTTTGCCATTTCCGCGCACAGGAAAAGAAATCAACGGAACCGCTTCTTCGACCTGGAAGGAAATTGATTATGAAGCATGCGCAAATATGACTCAAGACCCCTTTTTTTTTCTTTTCGAGAGGATGAGGTGGCACAGGATTACCTATCCTGCCTGGTACCGTGTTCATGGGGACTGGAGACAAGGTTATAATGACTATTGGTGGGAGAAGTGAACCAGCAAAAGAATTGCTTTAAGCCAGTTTCCTATCAGGGAAACACGCATTTTTGTTGGGGTTACAACAACAAGATCACAGGAAATGCTATTTTTTGATATTCATAGCCTCTAATTGATTCTTAAATGAGTTGACAGGATGACAAAATTGGAGGCAAGGGTTCATTTTCGCAATTCATCTTTCACTTCCTCTCAAAACACATTACATTACATTTGTAATGCTTTTCTCTTTTCTGCTTCAATTAAATCCCAAAAGGCTTCCAAAAAATTTCAGTTCTGGAGGTTTGCTGGGAAAGCCTTCAAGTAAAGAAATTATATCAAATTTTTTTTCTAAAAAATTACTTACACATGATGAATTTTCGGTTTTACAAAGATTTTTGTCAAGACTGTTTTCCAAGAGTGGTTCAAGACCAGTTTTAAAATCATATAAATTTATTGGATATTCAAAAGTCATTTGAATTTTCTTTTAAAAAGTAACAAAGAAACACTAAATTGCTTTTTTTTCTTCAAAAATTAGGGGCTGGTACACCGACAGGACAGGTAAAGCGTTCCATAATCCTCAACTCTCATTTCTAAATTCATCAACAACAAAATTCAGCTTCAACAAGTCTTTAATGCCTACAACAAATCGTTTCACTATCTTTTAGTAAAGGCACGTTTTCCAACACTGGATCTCCGGAAACCCGTGTCTTTCTTTTGCTTCCGGTCCGGTGGGCTTCCGGGTTCCTTTCCCAGCGAGAACAAATTCTTCACTTGGAACTTGGGCAAGGTGGTACTGACGCTTGTGAGATCAAACCGCATTGAGCTCCCTGGTAGAACGAATCCGAAGGAAACATCAGTTTACAAACACTTCTCACAAACGGTTGACAAAACTTTATAATTTCCGTCGTTATTCATTTTATATCAAATAAATTGAAAAAGAAAACTTGAACAGAGGACGAAGATGAATGATAGATCACAGCTAGTCCAATAAGCACATCTTTTCATCAGCTTCAACTAAGACTGCTCGCAATACCTAACCAGCATTATTATGAACCTGTTCCAAACCCGTCCCAAGAACATCTACAAGCATAAGAGCACGAAGAAAAGACAAGTTTTTGAATGCATCGCAAGAACAATAGCAATCGAAGACGCAGTTCACTGTACTCCAGTCAAAATGACATAAATCCACCAAGCCCCAGGGGCGACATCTAGATAACTTTTGGGAGAAGAAATTAACAGAAGAGCCTGGACAAACGGACCAAGGCAGTGTTCCCAAACCTAAGGTCTACAGAAGTGTTGGGTCAGTCCAAGGAAAATTGTCAGCATAATAAATTTATCAGATGTACCAATCAAGTCTGTTATCTTTATCTAAAATTTTGGAAAGACAATGGCATTTGAAATTATTTGCTGAAAATAAAAGATGGCCTTTCACCTAATAACACTTCCGACTAATTTTCACCAGCTGAAATAGATTTCTTAATATTTTGAGAAATCTTTCTTCAAGCCCAATTTTTCAACTTTTTCATGACATTCTGCTATAGCTGCTTCATCAGTGATTAACTTGATTTATGCAGAATACCAGACACTTTGAGATACCTGCCATAAAGCCTTTCAAGGAAAACNAAAAATTTTGCTTTTTAAACAAAATACAGTATTGATGACTCCAGGAAAATTTTACTTTTTAAACAAAATATGGTACTTTCCTGTTATCTCTGTACCTTATTCCTAGACTGCACTACCATCCAGACAAATCTTTAGGACAAGTTCATAATCACAACAACCTACCAGTAACTGTGAATTCTATTTTTCCGCATTCTGCTGAAACTGATTTTGGGAGGCGGTTAGGTAAAGTTAGGTTAGGCCAGGTTATGTTAGTTACAAATATCTATTAACTAACATAACCTGACCTAACCCAACTTCACCTAACCGCCTCCCAAAATCAGTTTCAGCAGAAACCAAAAGAAAGCAGAGACTGATTTTGGGAGGCGGTTAGGTAAAGTTAGGTTAGATCAGGTTAAATTGGTCAGAGGGAAGGTACAGAGATAACATGAATCGTAGATACAGAGATAAGAGAAAAGTAACCAAAATACAGTATTGATTTCTCCAGGAACACCAAATTGTAACCACACGTACCAGCAGGCAGCAACAGGTCCGGTAAACTGGCATGGTTTGACTCGACACTCCACGCAGATTCCCGACACTGGCGCACAAACCTATCCACCTCGTCACCGCTGACGTTCCTAGTGACGTTCAAACTCCGGTCCAAGGGATTCTCCACGTACAACGGGGAATGGTCAGGTTTGGCACACGCTTTTCCAGTCACCAAAGACATGCCCTTGGTCTTGAAGTCAAACTGGCCCCCGAATTCGAAGAATCCAGTGAGCAGCTCTCCGAGGTTCATTTCATTCTTGCTCTCGGCTTCCGGACTCGCTTCACTCCCTGAAAAAACAAGCAAACAAGTATGAGCTTTTAGTCGGTAGCATTAATTATTACATTATTCACAGCATGAAGATATTCACCATCAGTTGAACCTCTCTAAATCCAATCTCAGGGACTTGGAAAATATTCAACTTGGGGAGGTCTTGATTTTTGGAGGTTTTGAGGTAGGGAAAAAAATCATTTTTCCTGCCAAGATTAATGGATAAAAACATAAAATTGCAGGAAATTGTAAATGAGGATATTCTGGGCCTAAGCTTGCTTCTTAATGAGTTTATAGCTTGCTAAACTTGGATACATGGGTTCATTTGGGGTCTTTTGCTTCCTTTCAAGATGCATAAAATAATTTGTTTCACTGATTTTCTCTTTCATATTTCATGGAAATAATAACCGAAAGGCCTCAGAAAATTTGACTTACAGAGGTTTTGGATAAAAATACTTTGAGCAAGAGAGGTTTTTAATGCATTGTTTCAAAGGAAATTCAGATGGGGACTTGAAAAAAATTTGAGTTAAAAAGGTTCAAATTTACTTGAATTTTTTAACATTGGCTACAACTTCCGGACAAGCTTCACTTTCAGACAACAAAATATGCAACAACCAGCTTTTTTATTCTCAATTTTTTTTTTAATTGTCATCCAAGGTTTACTTGAGTGTTCTACAACATACATATAATACCCAGTCTGGTACGTTGTTTCTAAAGTGGCGCGTCCCTTTCATTTACGTTTGAATACCCTTATTGTGGTCATGCATTCCTGTTAGATCCTGTTTACTTTTATCTTGCAAGTGTTCATGAC